CCCCAAAACCCCAAAACCCCAAAACCCCAAAACCCCAAAACCCCTTTATGTTGACTGAGATTGAAGTATTCAAGTAATTGATTATATATGAAATAAAACTTATCGTCTCAAATTATTGAGCAATTCTTGGGTATTTTTTGGGGCTACTCACGACGATCTCATGTTCCTTATGCATGTCCTCATATAATTGATTTCTCATGGAAGGGGTTATGTTTGATTTGCTTCCTTCAAGCTCGTTATTGTACCCAGTGTCAAGAGTCACTGTATATTCTCTTTGAGGCTTTTTCTGGACTACCATCTCTCCTTCATGAGACAAGGATCCTAATTGGAGAAGATCCATGTCTTTGTCAAATGTCTTGTCAACAATGTAGGCCTCGTTAGGGCCGAGAGAGTATAACATTTTTCCTTGAAGGTTATTTACCTCCCATTACGAGTTTGCTCTTGGTCTTCCAAGTAGCATTTTTCACGTCAATTAGCCTCTCATTGGCGCTTTTTGGTCCGTATTTTGCTTTAGATTGTTTCTTAGGTTTTGACCTAGGTTCTTCTTCAATTGGAGAAATTGCCATGTCTGATGGAGATTGGCCGAACCTGACACTTTTACCAACACTCATCATTTGTGAAGCATCACCTTCTTGTTCTTTGCTTGGAGTTCCAAAGCTGAACATTCTTGAATTTTTCACTCTCAACTCATCGTCTTCATTTTGAGCTAATCCTGGATCTCTGGTCATATCCTATTAAGCATTAATCAAATAAGTATACCATTCCTGTACTTCTGAAGTTTGTCTGTCTGCTCCTAAGCTCATGGAGCTCTTGAACTATCTCAATTAGTCAAAATGCTTCGCACAGAGCTTCTTTGATATTTCTGATTTCTTCAATCTCATTTTCTTGATTTTTCATTTGGAATTCATCCCTCAAAATATCAACTTGTTCCTTCTCAAAATCCTTATTCTCAATTTGTTTGGGAATGTTGTTCAGTTTATCAACAGTCTCTTCATTAAACCCGGTGATGTCCGCCCAGTTTTCAATTGGTTCTGCTTCTTGGTTCTCAAGCATTGCGATCATCTTGAAGAAGACATTTACTGCACTAAGATCATCCTCTGTAGCATTTTCATGAGCACTGAGATTGTCCATTGCATCTCTATCTATTTTCTCAATTGCTCTTTCCAGCAAATCTTTACCAAGAGTAAACTCTTTATGAAGAACTTCAACGTTAGAATATTCGTTAATATTTGCCATGTTTTGTTCAGTCATTGGGCTTTGGAGTTGCCCACCAAAAGATCCAGTAGTTTTGATATCGCCAGAAGGCCCAGTAGCTCTCATGAGTGTATCGCTTTCTGCGACTTCATCATTTAGGTACATCTCTGGCTGCATTTGGCTATCAAGGACGTTTCTATTCCATGATTTTCCAGTGCCAATATGACTATCGTTTATGTATTCCCACTGGTCTCTTCCAATATCGGCATAGATGTTCTTGGGTTTCATCCTTTCCTTGTGGATTTCTGAATTCATCATAATCATTGATTTAGCGAGCATGAATCCATATGACTCGCACTTCTTTCTCCATGGGTCTTCGTCTCCGTGCACCATTCTTTGGGCTGCGCGCTTGGCAATTTTCTTGGGGCTTCTCAGCTTTCCTACAAAAGGTTAGAAATTTTTTGAGAAATGCTTACTCTTTTTGTTGTATGATTTGGCTGTCTTTTTCAAAGTTTCGACTACTTGGCCTTCCATGAACTTTTCCATGTACTGGTAACGATCCTGACCGTTATTGACAATGTAATTGTAGTCGTTTTCGGGGGCAGACTTCTCTCTCCATTCTCCCTCTACTAAGGTCTCTGACCCACTTGCAGATTGTGTTTGCATATTTATTTCGATCAAATAAAATTCAATGATAAATTTTATTTCGGGGTTTTGGGGTTTTGGGGTTTTGGGGTTTTGGGGTTTTGGGG